CAACGTAATGTAGAGCAGCTTCAAGTATGGCTACTCTTCTTGGATTTCAGGCTTGTTCTTTACAGAAAAATTTTTAAGGGCTCCTGGCTGTGGCTGCTTTAGTCACCAAGGAGAGTAGAAAAGACCTTGCAAACTAAATTTGCAACAAAATTCACTGATTCAGCAACCTATGTTCATTGGTCATGTAGTTGTCGGTGTAATGCTTCTATTACTAAACCCTTTGCACCCTAACATCAGTGAGCATATTCTTCATAAATTGCAGTAAATTCCCTTTTGCACATGTTCATTTTTTTCTGAGGCCAGTTTGCAGGAGTGCCAGTTTGGTGTGAAAAATTGTGGGAGCAGTAGTGACAAGCATCTTTTTACTACAGTTTTTCAAAGTTATTGATTGCAAGTTTCTACATTTTTTGGCTGAGTTTTATTTCTGGCATTAATTTTATGATCATTGTATGTGGTTTGGCAGAATTTGGCAAACTAATTGTTGACTTAATGACTGTGAATATATGAATATGTTATATGTATCAATATATTCACCACTTTATGGGTTTATTTGGAACCAACATAATGACCAGCTCCCAGTTGGTTTGTTAGCTCAGTTGGTAGAGTGCTACACCGTCCAGTATCGCAGAGGTCATGGATTCAAATCCTGTACAGACCTGAATTTTTTTCAGGCCTTATTTTCACTACTGCTCAAGTAGTGTTCATTACTGCAAAGGTCACTTTCATATTCACTTAATTGTTGACTGTTAACTGCAATTGGGGCCAATTTCTATTCCCTAATAAACTTCTGCTGTTTCACCATGAACCACACTCTGGGTGAAGAGCTTGTTTGCTAATTGCAAATTGACCACTTAACTTTTTCATTTCTAAGATCTAAATACTCATTCTTCTTATTGTTTGTCATACAATTTGTATGTTGTTAGTTTGGAGAATTTGGTATTGGATCAACTGATAATAATGTAATTAATATTTTTCTTTATTCTTATTACTGGTCTGCTTGACTGTGAATTGATTTTGTAAGGAGAAATGATGTCTTGGTCACTCATGTAAGTTGAAGGGATACAAAATTATGCCCAGAATAGAAAGAGACTAGTGACAATAACATAATATTGCAAATTCACTCAAAACATTTCACAAATAAACAAAGCAGTTCTTGAGTGGACATCATTGACTCTAAACAGACAGTGACAATGAAATGGAAATTTTCCTTTGTACTATGTAAATTATATGTACCAAGAAATTTCTCGTCCTTTCCAGGAAATTGCTCTATTTAGTTGACGTGTTATTTGGCTCTTTAAGGTGTCTCCTGAACATTAGAAGCAGCCTTGGTTTGCTATCACTGACTATAACTCCAAAGGAATAAATCTCTCATTAAGAAAAGGAGCTGCAGAACTATTCTTAACCCTTCAGCCCTTAAGAGTGACCAACAGCTAATTTCTCTTTACAATGTCACCACTGAATCAAATGTTAAGGTCATGAGAATGAAGGAAACAATCACCGACTAGAGAGGCACTTTATTGTTAAACAAATTCTCCTTGTCAGGACCATGGACAATGTATAGAGAACAGTATGGAGAATATGCATACTGATGTTAGGATGTAAAGGATTAAGAGAAAGGGAAAAAAAGTGCTCCAGAGGTAGCGGCAGAAACTTTCATCTGAATACAATTATATTATTTTGTACTGAATAGATTATTCATTTTATTGTTCTGATATTTTTATCTTAGATCTAACCCTAAGCATCACAACTGGACAGCACAAGCCAAGCAACAAAACTGAAGAGTACAAACATCAATGACACAGACCCATCTTGGTGGAAGAACCCTGGCGATTGGCACTGGAAGCAAGTACAAGATTATTTATCATTTCCATCAATTCTAGATTTTATTTCAGGCCCAGCTTGGGAGGTCATTGAATAGGGGTGCAGCTGGCCTGGGGTTTTCCTCTTAGGGGCAAGTAGATGTACAGGGAGGTTTTTCACCCAGCTGTTGTTCCACCACCCCCATTCATTAAGTTCTTTCTTTTTCTAGTTCATAATAATGAGAAATGGTGTGTGTGCCACAGTTGTTCAAACAAGTGCTTTAAGGGTCTCAGGTTCCAGGGCTTAGGCTGTTGGGTCTCAGTTTTTATTGAATCTCAGGTCTTAGAGTTTAGGTTTCTGGCTCATAGAATCTTTGGATCCTGGGTTTATTTGGTTGAAATTTTTTTGGGTCATTAAGGTTATTTTAGGTTCAGGTTCCAGGGCTTGGGTTTCATGGGACATTGGCTTTTTAATTCTGGGTTTTTGTGGTCTTAGGGTTAGGTTTTTTGAGTCCTTTCTGGGTGTGGGATTTTTGGTCCTTACTATTTTTCTATGTGCTCAGTTTAGGTTTTTGCTCCTTACTTTGGGTCTTTTTAATCATAATATGATTTTAAAGACAAATGGTAAGTTTAAGAATATATTTCATGCCTGCATGACCGAATTTTAGCACTTGTTTGAACAAAATTCTGGGTAAGTTAACACTAGATTTGTTTTTCACTATTGCTGCATAATAGACTGCGATATATCCTATCATAATCTCAGTTTTAAGGTCTAATGCATTATTGGACATCCTTCATCTACCAAATTCAATTTTCCAGCCACAGTTGTGTGATATAGTTTCAAATTGGAGCAGGTACATATTAAGCAGAGGCGGTTGTTCTCTCATTCGTTTAAAGAGTTGCTAAATCTTTAAGGCAAGGCTTGTCATCTTAGGGAGAAATAGTTCAAAATACTTCTAATTTCAAATAATCCAAAAGCTTTAGGAGACTAAGGAATATCTGAGAGCAATAAGATTTCTTGGTTATTTTGGGTAACTGATTTTTCCAATCTTTTTTGGGCTTAAGGTTTTTCCAGGTCCAAGTCTCTTAGGTGTTTGGCCGTTGGAGCCCTGGGTTCTTTAGGTCTCAGGTTTTTGGGTGTAAGACTTTTGGATTTCAGGTTTTCTGGGTCTGAGATTTAGTTTCAGTGGTATGATAAATATTAATGATAGTTAGTTTTTAATACCAACATCATGCTGACAGGTTTTTCTTTTATTTCTGGGGCTAAGGTTTCCACACTATAGGTTTTCTTCTTCCAAGGTATATCAGGTTTTTCAAATCTAAGTTTGTTGGGTCATGGCTCTCCTTTTCTTAGGTTTTCCAGTTCTCAAGTTTTTTTGGGCCTCAGGTTTCTGAATCTTGGATTTACCAGTCTAAGGTATATTTTGGGTCTTTTTTGTGGGCCCAGGATCTCTAGGGCTGAGGTTTAACCAATTTTAAGTCCAGGGGTGATAGTATTTTACAGATCTCAGATTTCCAGGTCTTAGTACATTTCTGGGTCTTGGGTTTAAGAGCCTTAAGTTCTGAGTATTAGAGTCCTGGATTTTGGTCTTAGGTTTCAGGGTCTCAGATTTCAAAGTCCTTAACATATTCCTATCATTTCATAGTAAGTATGTAAGTATAAGGGTTAAAGGTCTCTGGGTCTCAGATTTCTGAGTCTTAGGCTTCACAGTTTTTGTTTTCTGGGTTATAGTGTTTCATACACTTTTTGGGGGGCAGAAGAGGGTCTTGGACTTCTGCATTTCAAATTTAAGGGTAGTTAAGTTGGCATTTGTCCTAAGAATTTAAGGGAAACATGTAATTGTTGGATTTTCTGGCCTAAGGGTTTCCAGTGTTTTATGATTTTTAAGGATTCCAGGTTTTAGGTTGGGATAATGTTTGTGGTAATATTACTAAATTGAGTACACTGGCATCAGTAGGCTCATTACCACAAACTTCTTTTAGGAGTACTTTTAGTTTGCTTTTCATTAGCTCACCATTTTGTCCTGTAGGCTGTGTATGTGGCTGATATCTACACTGTTTAAGCAGATAGCTTTTCCACAGTTAAGGTTTCATTTAAATTTATTGCAAAGTTCGATTGAATTTCATTTCATGCAAAGTGAAATTCTTGATGATTTCATGTAAGTATTACCAGCTATACTATACAATATTAAGCCTCACAGAAGATATCTTTTCTGCTTAGGGTAAACATGGTAGGCTACATTTCCATTTAATTTAATTTCTTTTTCCCCTTTAACTATTTTCTGGTTTTGCAAGTCATGATATCTTCTAGGGTCTCTTGCAGGATTCTACATTTTTTTCAGAACTTAGTTCTGAAGGACATTAGTTTTTCTAAGCTTGGTATTGCAAGCTTGATCTTAATGTAATTAGGTAAGTTTAAATTTCATGCCATGAACTTGCTTCACCAAGAGACATAATTTAGCTATTAGCATCATTATCTTAATTTGTTAGGTCATCTACAATGGTAATGAGCTTGCATATCAACTTAAGTCTTTAGGATACTATTTAATTTCAGATTGGTGGTGGCACACACACTTAGAGGCAAGAAGAAAGAAAAAAAATTTAGCCAATCACATCCCTGCTGGGTTGTGGAAGCTCTGTGTGTTCTAAGAAGTGTTTCTGATGTCCTCTAAAATATTCCAACTGAGAAATCCTGTGATGCTTTGTCTGATCCTGAAGTTCAAGCTGGGGACAGTTGGACTCTTGGAAGAGTTGACCTCTTGCTCTTAAGTAAGGAGGACAGTGTAGAGGAAGGTGAGAGTTTGCTCTTTTGTCTTTGGGGTTTTGCCTAATTTGTCATGGAATCACACCATCAATTTGACACATTTTGGCCTCAGAAGGTGCTTTTTTGCATTCAATGTATCTCTTGAAGTGTTCCACAACTAAGGATCATTAAAACAGTTGCGCTGAATTGTAGGACTCAATTTAGGTGCATTTACATTGGGAGTGCGGATTTTTGCTGGATTTCTCTGGTCTGGCTTGATTGGACTCAGATAAATGATATCAAATTGAGCTAATAGTTACTGGGGGTCTCTCTGATGGGTTGATACTGAATC